TTTCCTCTGAGCCTGACTTGATAGGATTGATATAAGGTTTAAATAGGACAAGGCTCATAGCACTCAGCACAGTGTCTAGCACACAGTAAGCACTCAATAAATGCTAATAGATGGTGGGCATGACAGTGAAAATGCAGCACGTATAAGGAATTGACTCAAATACTGAGAGTGGATGATTTTACCTTTTGAATAAACAAATGAGATACATAGAATAGTAATAAATAGACTTATAATGAACATTCATCTTTCAACCGCCTCTCAACATACTTACCAGTGTAAGATTGGTGACTTAGGTGACATTGCCACTGAAATGATTCAGGACGTTGACAGGACCTTGACAAGCCGGGGCAACCCCTTAATGATGCGGAGAAGGCCAGCTTTAGTGTTTGGTCCATAAAATACACGCTTTTATGTCCCTTCCTATTTGATGAGAAAGCCCACTATTTCTGCGGGAAATTTACTTCTGATCTACCCCTGGTAACTTTTACAGGCAGGTGCACCCATCCCTCAGCTGCTGTAAGAATTGGTTGCTGAAACTCACAGCTGCACCTTACTTCAGAGAATGTCTCTCAGCCCAAGAGGCAGTGTTGCCCACAGACACAGACACATAGGAGATTGAGGTTGGGAGAGGAAGCCTCCGGTAACCAGTGACTGCTGATGGCGAGATACAAGCCCAGCTCCCTTGCCTCAGGACAGCTGACTCAATGGAGCCCTTCTTTTTTTCCCCCCCGCCCCAATAGTGATGGATCTTGTTTTATAAACATTTTAAAATAGAAATGTTTGTCCCTTTGTCCAAAATTTTGTCTCAACAGAATCTTAGGATAATTTTCAGTTACCGGATTTAGTCCTCAACTGATCATTTCCTTTCTTTCTGATTCAATCTTTTTTTTAAAATATAAATTCAATTAGCAAACATATAGTACATCATAAGTTCCAGACATAAGAGTTCAATAATTCATCAGTTGCATATAACACCCAGCGCTCATCACATCATGTGCCCTCGGGGGAATGGGGTAATTCAATGGAGCCCCTCTTGTTCCAATTCTTTCTTCTGAAATCAGGCTAAGCATAGGCTGCAGCTAGATACACATCTTTGCCCAGCTTCTACCCCTGTGCTATCCGCTTCCTCATTCTTACAGGTTTTTTTTTTTCCTGCAGAGCCCCCTCAACAAATCCCTCACACAAGAATTCTAGTCTCAAGCTCAGCTTCTGGAGGACCCAACCTAAGATACCTTCTGAGTATGTCTATTTCTGCAGTTACGTTACCATTAGGAGAGATTTTTCTATTGTTTTTCTTCTAGACAAATGCACAAAAACTTTTAATACCTTGTGGTTTTGGTTTTCTAGACCTGTACATTTATTTAGATCTTGGAGGTTAGTAACCATGATAGCTTACTGCACCTCTTTTAGATCTATACATATTAAAGACAAGAAACCAAAACCAAAACAAAACAAACAAAAACAAAAAAAACCAAAAAACACACAAAAAACACAAACCTCTTGTCCCCTGAGGCATGTGGGTGGCAACAGCATTTCAGTGCTTTTCTTAACACAGCTTCTACCATATAGGGTGAAGCTCTAACAAGCATATCATGTTAACTAAAGAACAATAACCTCAATTTCACCCTACCTTAAAAAGTTTTACTTTCAATACCGCTCCTACAGAGGTGATGAAGAGTCAAGCTTCCATATCTGATGGCGTGTGTAAGATCATGAGTTTGAAAAGGAAGAGATAATTTACATGCCTGAATAAAATTCTTCATGAACTTAATTGAAGTTTTTGAAAAATATTACATCATTTCAAAGATCTGTTTCTAAGAACTGATATAAGAAGGTGGTCATAGACGGTATTTCTGTCTTCTTCTTTGGTAGTAAGAACCTGTCTGCCAATAGCCTGTATCAGCTATTGAATATTATTCTCAGCTGGGCAAATCCCAAACCATAATTTGACTTTAAATTTCTATTCCAGGTCATGGCATTTGCATCCCATCAGGTGCTGAGGAGTTCGTGTGCAGCAAGCAGCCTTAGTTTTTTATGATTACATTCCTCCTAGACCTCTCAAGGGCATTTGGTGCTTCTAACAGAAATGCAATCTGGCTGTCCTAGATAGTAAATGAGGTTTGTCCATCACTCACCCCCATGAAAAGGTTCCTCATTATTGTCAAGTTGGAGAGCTATAGTGTGGTCTGTGCTTCATCTGATTTATTTCCCATGATAAATGGCTGACATTACCAAAAAATGGAAGAATGTATGTGTGAGAGGAAATGGGGAGAGAGTCAGGGAAGGTTGGAGGAGCCCATCAGAGAGTCTGACCCTAATGTAGAGAGGGTGGCGAGGAATGTTGGGAATAAACATCTCAGAGTACTATGCAGGGTAAGGAAGTTTTGGCAAGGCAGTTGGGGAGTCTTCAAACCACAGCCTGCCACCTGAGGTCTTCTGTATCTTTCAGGAAAAGGACTGCTGTGCTTAGTCATTGGCTAGGAGCAGTCTCTAGGAAGCCTGGTGTTGGCACAACTGTGGAAACAGGATTCAGAGTGTAGAAGGCAGGACCTTTGCTGAGTTAAGCTTCCCATAGTTGGGGGTCTGTGAGGTGTAGTATTCTCCTCGTGCCAAATGCACCCTACCATTTTAAGACAATGGAATGAGAAAAGGAAGATAGAAGATAGAAATGGGTTGTAGTTTGAGGGATGTTTGGATTCAAGGCAAGGCTTTCTGTTGTTTTTTGAATGAGAAGAACTTCAGTATGTTGTAAGCCTTGAGGAGGGAATCTGCACAATGGAAGAAGTTAAAAAAAAAAGGAAGAGAAGAAGGGAATGGGGGAAAAGTTGGGCAGGGACTTTGTGTGTGTGTTTGTGTGTGAGAGAGAATTAGTTAATTGTGAAGGAAGAAGACTTCAGAGAAAGAAAGAAGAAGAACTTGGATAAAGGTAATGGCTTTGAGGAATGACATCTTATTCCTTGGGACAATGTCTGAACATGGGTTAAGGTTAAACGTTGTTGGAAGTTGAAGGGAATTGTGCTCGGTTATTTCAATTTCATTCAAAATAGGAAGAAAAGCATGAGGGACACTAATGGAAGGTTCAGTCTTGAACAGGAAGTACTCCATCCTCTGAGGCTGAAGCAAAAACAGGTAAGATTGGGCTTAGAGAAAGACTCTGCAGATGTGGGACCAAATTATGGGAGAGAAAGTTTGATGACTTCAATTTCTTGATGAAGTAGGAGGCGAAGTTATCTGCTGAAGGTATTATTTATTTGTAGCTCTTCTCATGTGACAAAATTCCATACATAAAACTATAACAGAAATAATATTTAGTATATTAAAATTAATATGTCAAATATGTCTTTTATATTAAGATGATTATCTATTACATAAATCTTTTGTACGCATGTCTGTGTCTGTTTCTTGGTGTATAGCCCAAAACTCTAAAATATTCTCTTGGTTTAATTTGGAATTTTAAAAACTGAGAGTGTATTGAATTTATGTTTTTCTCAATCAGGAAGTAATAACTGGAGATACACTGTCAGTGTATTATGTATATTTGCTACCAAATTTAACAAAACCAAAAATACTTTTGAACCATGTAATTTATCTATTAAAATAATTTCATCATATTAGCATTTATTGGCTTAGCCTATCAAAAAGTAGACATCAAAGTATTTCATAATTGGAGGGGGACTTTGACATCATTGGTTTCTAATGTGGGGGCTTAGACTTCCAGACTCTATAAATTGAGCAATAAAGGTTGATGGTTTCTTTTCTTTCTTTCTTTTTTTTTTTTTGACGATCTATTTTCAAATTTTAACACACCAAATGGAAATCACACTTTACCCATATGAAGGCCAAGGTTACAATGATTTGAAATGATTTCAATTCCGTGGGCCACTCTTCAGAAGCTCCAATGGGCCTTTGCAATATTAAAATATGGAAAATGCATTAATCATTATTTAATCAATGAGTTTTAAAGATACACAAAGGTTTCTGAAATACGGGATTTGGGGTTGGGGGAAGGATTGTAGAAGTTTGAGGTAACTGGTCATAAAAATGTTGGGAAAAACTGATTTTGTCTAATCCTGTTATTTGCAGATGAGGAAACTGGGAGGTTACCCAATATCACATCATGGTTCATTAGCAGTAGAGCCGGCTTTAGGATTAGACTATTCTTGAAGTTGTGAAAAAATTACCTAACATGCCATTTTCTTGGGTGTTAGGGTTTTGCATTTTGTATCATGGTCTTTAGTGTTCTTAGCATTTGGAATCCAAATGCTTCACATTTTGTTTGGAGTTGCTTTGGGAAAGAGTATGTATGAGTAGGAAACATTCTAGTCCAAACAACTAGGCCAACTTTCCAGTAAAGTGGTTAAAAAAAAGTTCCACAGAAGTAATTGAAGAGCAAAAACCTTCAAAAGAGTCTTCATAGTAAAGAGGTGCCATAAAAGCCTAATTAATTTCAAAGTCCATCTTCCATTCTTCATAATTTTAGGGTAATCCTCATTCTTATCTACTCTAGTTCCAACAGTACTTTAAACAGAGCACATGATTAAACTGTTAGCGGATGAATCTGCAAAAAGAAAACTGATTTTTGACTCTTCTACAGTTTCAATCTTAAGTGTGCATACCAAATGCATACATTCTTATCAAATAATTAACATATATTCACAATTAACAAACAGGGACAATTTTTATACACAAGTTCGGCTACCAATGTAATTTTTAAAACATTGATCCCACCAGCAAGAGAGGAGACAGTTGTGCCCCTTTAAAGATAGATAATTTGAATAAAGAATATAAGATACAATCATAATTAGAGGTTCAGAAAATAGTTTTCCTTCTTATAGAGTGTTTTAGTATTTTCTTCCTTTTATTTTTTTTAATTTATTTTTTGACAGAGAGAGAGACAATGAGAGAGGGAACACAAGCAGGGGGAGTGGAGAGGGAGAAGCAGGCTTCCCGCCGAGCAGGGAGCCTGATGCGGGGCTCGATCCCAGGACCCTGGGATCATGACCCAAGCCAAAGGCAGACGCTTAACGACTGAGCCACCCAGGCTCCCCTTATTTCTTTATTCTTCCTCCTCATATTTCTTTAGACAACACAGTCATTTCTTCTCAATTTTTTTTTCTTTTTAGGGAGGGGACGTTGTCTACTGATGGTCTAAAAGAAGCGCCTTCATAACTGCAGCTGAGGCAGAAATGGAATATTTAGTAATTCTTACATCTCTTTGATGCAGTCTTCCAAGATGTTATGATCACTTTCTAAGTCCAAAGTTTCAAAACGTCATAAAGATAATCAGAATTGTATGACAAATGGTAACAAGTAGTTGTGTGCATTCATTTTCTATGATATCCAATCACATGTCCATTAAAACTCAGACTTCATTTTGGCATCAAATGTACATAACAGAATGAACAAGACCGAGACCTAGTCATTGTCATAGATGCAACCTGAAAAAAAAAATACAAATTTCAATAGAGTTATACAAAACACATAGCTTCTAAGTGTTCCAAGGTTAGAAACGTGGGTGATTCACACTCTCCCAGTTTAGGATTAAAAAAAAAATGTAGAATTGGCTCACTTTGTGAAAAAGTAGTTACATGGAAGACCATATATGTATTTAACTTTCATTGCTCAGTATTTAATTCTAATGAAGTTTCTAGACAGAATTATTCTTTATCAAAATGAGACTCAGGATTATTTTATCTGGCACTTAATTAAACATACTTTTTGGTAGTTATCCTAAATGAGATTGAAGATATTAAATATGAGTAAGAACCATAATTTTAAAAGGAAACTAAAAGGCCACATGAGTAACTCTATGCGCCATTTCAGATGAGATTAATTTTTTAGATTGTAATTTGTAAATATGTGATGCTGAAAGAATACTAGTGAGTATTATAGGTTATGAAATAAGTACCTACTAATTGGTCAAGTATACATATTTTTGTGGATGAAAGTAATTCGTATTAAGATTAATGGTATAATGAAAAATTCACTATTTTCATACTTCTGTTTTCAAAGAAAATAAATAAGATTCTTCCTTGATTTCCAGTCATGTGCAAAAATAATTTTCTTAAATTATACCAGAGCATTTGCCTTTCCTAACATTTTCAAGTGATTCAAATTCTGATCAGATTGGAAAGTTCTAATTAATCCAGCAAGCTATTTTTAGTATTTGTAAGAGCAGTAAATTCACTGTTAATTGTTTTTGGTGGTGGGTGCCATGTGGGACTTACCATCAGCAATATCATCATAGATCTCTCCATCACTGTAAATGTAGAAAAAAATTTTTATTTTAAAGAAAATATCTTCTTAACATTAAGGCAATATTTAGATTAAAAAGTTAATAATATGATTTTATGGGACACAATTAAGCATTTAAAGGTGAGAAGTTAAATGTGAATTTATAAGTGGGAAGAAATTTCATGCTCATCTGCATCATCTTTTATTGGTTTAACCTAATTCTCTGTTCTATTCTAAAGTAACCAAAAAACCCACAACTTATTCCATATCATAGACATATGGAATAGTGGAAACATGCCTCAAGAGCATACACCATGCTTTATTCACCTTTAGATCCAACCGTGAGCCTAGGACAGAGCTGTATGTTGTAAGAAGTGCTTATTGAACTGAACAAACTGAAAAATCATGGCACAATACTCCACTTGGGGCCCTAATGGAGGCTTTTTTTTTTTTTTTTTTTTTAAGTAATGTCTATACCCCACATGGGGCTTGAACTCAGGACCGGAGATCAAGAGTCACATTGTCCTCTGACTGAGCCAGCCAGGTGCTCCCCTAATGGATTCTTTGTATTTGTTAATAATCAGATTTATACTTTCACTTGAACTTCAAATGTTGAATGAAATAGAATAATATTAAAAAAGAAATAGAATAATATTTGGCATAAGAAATGGGTGCATTATTTTTGCATGTTTCTAATTAAAATTTCTAAATACTAATTATAAAATACATAAATATTAGTTTCAAAATGAGTAGCCAAGATATGGTTAGTATGGTGATTCTTATGTAATTCTAAAAATGTTTATGGTTATAGGCTGCATGCATAATAATAGCTCTGGCTACTTTTACACATTTTGGTTGTACTTGGTCCTGAATCTTTGTAAAATATTCTGCTCTCCACACCTTACCCACCGAGTCCCTCCGATGTACGAGGAGATATAATCATGAGTAAGACACAAGCTTTGATTTTAAGAAGCTTATAATCTAATGGAGGAGAGAATGACATACAAGTAATTAAAATAGAAATTTTATAAATGGCGAATATAGCCTTGAAATGTAGATTACAGTCTCAAAGTTCAGTGACTAGTGTAAGGTGACTGTTGCCTTGACCAGACCCACTTTTGGTTCCAGTACTATGTCTGCTTTCATCATGGAAGCAGCAGCAGGCCCTCCAAGTTGCTGCCAACTACGGCAGATGTTGTGAGCTGCCTATGTCTTCTGTTTGGATCCTTTCTCTGAGATTAAGGGAGGGTTGGCTACTGGAGATCTGGTACAAATGCAAAGAGGATAGATCTTGCTATCATTCATTCAATACACATTTATTAAGTATTCACGTCAATAGATAGTCAACCAATAATTACTTAGAGTATACTTTCTAAATTCTCTCTCCATCACCCTGTAATAATCACTGATGAAGCCACGTATTCTTTCCCTGAAATTTTATCTTTCATAGAAAATAGAAAAATAAAAAAGTGCCTTGCCTACCATTGTGATTAATGGTCTGAGAAAAAGAAAAGTATTATGATTATTTTTATTTGACTCTTTACTAGTTTGCTGACAAAGCACTAGCATTGAGTTGTCTCTTTCTGATTGGTGTCAGGTTGTTTATGGATACAGTTTGTGAATCTTTCTTGATTTTTTTATTATGCAGAATTTTGTAAATCTTTATGTTGGCATATGACCTGATAACGGAGTTTACTTCTTGCACTGATATACTTGGAACAGAATCTTACAGGGTTTGAGGGGGACTCTCATAGAACACTAGTACCAGACCGTGACAATGTCTTATTCATAAAAATAGAACAATCATTGATGACTATCTTTTTTCTGGCATGCTTCCAAAAAGGCAACTTAATGCTCTACTCTGCCTAGTAAAGAAAAGCCCTCAAATGGCGGCCAAATTACTAACAGGTGACATTAGCACCTACTGTGTAGACACTAATTGGCCCCTGATTAATTCAATTCCACCAACTGCAATAATGAGTAATGAAAGGCAAAATATTAATGAAAGTGTTAGTGGTTTTCCCCTGTCTCCAATGTTTGCCACATCTGTCTCCAATGAATGTTTATAACTATGAACTGTATATTCATGAACGAGAAGGGTTTTTGTCTATTTAAAAGAGTGACACTTTAGGAAAACCTTAACTTTATTATGGGTACATAATGACATTAGTATTGACATTAGGATAGCATATTGTTTTAAAATTTATTTATGACAGTTTAGTAGATTATATTATTTAGATGTTATTAGCAATCTTTCTTAAAGAAAAGCATAACATTCTTTTTGCAAGCATAGTAGTAGAAGAAAATGAACTTACTTGTCTACCAAGTAACTCCGAAGGACATAACCATCTATGAAAAAAAAGAAAATAAATTTTATTAATAGTACAGAATCTAATAATCTTTACTGTTTCTTTTAAGAAAGTGAAATAGAATTGAATATTTAATGTAATATGATATAATGTGATATACTGAATAATTCTATTTCCAAATATGACCTATTTTTCTTTTTTTCTTTTTTAAAGATTTTATTTATTTATTTGGGATAGAGAGAGCACAAGCCAGAGGACAGAGGGAAAAGGAGAAACAGACTCCCCACTGAGCAGGGAGCCAGACGCCGGGCTGGATCCCAGGACCCTGGGATCATGACCTGAGCCAAAGGCAGACGCTCAACCGAATGAACCACTCAGGGGCTCGGACCTATTTTACTTATTCGTGTCCACTTTTTTCCCCTTCTTTTCTTCTCCTTTTCTCTCTATTTTTTTCACTGTCTCCTACATGTCTCTTTTCCTCCATTTACAACCTTTCCCCTTAAAGAGAAACAAATTACCTTCTTCTCCAAGCTGCTGCAGGTCCTAGCATAAGGCTCTACCAAATTTTACTCTATTTCTTCATAGTGTTACCCATGAGACCCAGTCCTAGGGAGAATTTATAGTTTCTCTAAATACAAAAGTAGTTCGTAGGTAGGTATTTCAAATACCACCAGATCAAAGCCTTAACTTTTAAAATTCTATTATATTGAACAGAGTCAAAACTGTTTTCAACTCCCCTTTCAGATCAGCAATCTTGTGATTACTTGGGGGAGTATGCATTCTAAACGGTCTCAAAATAATTCTCACGTTCAGTGTGGAAGGTCTTCCATACTGCTTTTGCCATTTGACAGAGTGTCAACATGTGCACTTTCATCTTTCATGAAACAAGTCATTATTAGAAGAACACATACCAGGCATTCTAGGGATTCCCCTATTAAATAGGAAATAGACCATATTTTATGCAAAAAAGTAAAGGTTATCTTTGCATCTATTGTGCACAATAATCCTAAGAAAAAATTCAGACTATTTTTCTTGAGAAAATTTCTGCTGACATTTAATGAATATTACTAATCTTCGGAATCATTAGTTTTGTGTTAGTACCTAAACACTACTGTATGTTTGAGATTAGTAGCATTCACTGCCTTGTCAATACAGCCTTTAAATTCCTTCAGAGCCAATCTATTGGTCTTGGTCCACTTTAGATCTAATTTTTATTAGACTAAATGTGTAAAAAATTATAAACCAGGAAGTTCATAGGCAAAGATTAATACAAATGATAATAAACTTACTTAAACATACTGATGTTATATTGCCATTGATTTAACATGCAAAAACATTTTTTTTAAAAAGTGGGATCATACAAATGAAACTATAGATTGAAACTTAAGAAAACAAACTTTCCCCTGAAATATTCCAGGGTAAAAAAAACTCCACTGAAATATTTTATCAAGAAATTCACCATTTTTTAATGAAAACTTTTTAAAATCCTATTTGGAAAAGGAAGAATCAAAGTTATCTTTGAATTCCTGTAGTATGGTAATAATGAAGCATGTGTCAAAATGATAAAAGTACAACAATATAATATTTTTCTCAGACTCTGAAAAATTAGACCTTGTTATACCTTTTTTATTTCAGTTAAAGCAGTAGCAAAAATTATTAATGTAAGAACATCTAAAAATTAATACCCTTGGTTGCCTTTGATTTCACAGTTCTTTTATTCATTTCATGTTAACAGACTTCTAAAAAATTTAAGGTATGTATCATAATTTAACCTAATTTTTAAAAGGGGATAAGCTCGTCTCTAAGAAATTCAATTCTATGTGTGTCTCTCAAAAGAGAAAAATCTATACAGATAACAAGTTTTTAGAACAAACTGTGGATTTCTTGTCATGGTCCCAATAACTGAAGCCTGTCTTTACCTGCGCTGATGTTTAGAGCTAAAATAAAATGTGAACATTTCTCTATAGACAGTAATAGTCCAAACTTTTTTTGTTTCCATTAGTTAAAATTGGTGGCTCTTCTTTTCTTTTGAATATTTTTTCTTAAAACAAACTGGGAAATAAAAGAATACAATAATAAGTGTTCCCATGAGATATTCATGTTTAAATTAATAATTTAAAAGTAATGACGTAGATGAGTTGAAGCTTTTGACAGTGAAGGAAATCTCTGTGAGCTGTTCAGGCTTTGTAATGTGTCTGAATTAAAATTAGAAGATAAAAAATTAGAGAAATATATAAGAAATTAAAGCTATTGCCAGAGACTGGACTTACTCCAGCATCAATATATTCTTGTTTTTTAAAAAATCTTTAGAAGATTTAAAGAAATAAAGAACAAAACAAAGAGAATATAAACATCATTTTTGGCAATCAACAGTGTTTATTTTCCTTTGCTTTTAAGTAATCTTTTGAAAACTCATCTATGCTAGAGGCGCCTGGGTGGCTTAGCCTGTTAAACGTTTGCCTTCGGCTCAGGTCATGATCCCAGCGTCCTGGGATCGAGTCCCGCATCGGCCTTCCTGCTCAGCAGGGAGCCTGCTTCTCCCGCTCCCTCTCCCTGCTGGTCCCCCTGCTTGTGCTCTCTCTCTCTGTCAAATAAATAAATAAAATCTTAAAAAAAAAAAAAGAGAAAATTCATCTATGCTAAAATTGTGTAGACCTGGATTAAGTACCGTCTGTAGTAATTAAGCATTAAGTAGTCCTTTACATGACCAAGGTTAATAACTCATGATATACAGCTTAATAGCCTGTCTTCACAAAATTAATTATAAAAAATATATTTTAGATTCTCAAATGCCTATTATATTTCCTCCTGTAGCTTGCCTATTCCGGAGCTCTAAGGAATGGCTTTCCCTTTTGTTGGATGCTCTGCTATAGATATTGCTTTTGTGGATGAGCTACATAAATGTGAATGATGATGAATATTGCTTAAGAAAATGTATCAAGGAGATGCAGTGTGGGATGGTACTGTACTGCTCTATTTTAGTTTCCTGAAATGATGTGATAATTTGGGGCTCATTAGCTATAAAATTACTATTCTATAGCATTTTTACAGTGTTAATGACTTTTTAATACAGCATAGATTTCGCTGTCTAGTACCTTTAAAAATCTCTAAAACCTCATTCTATTAAAAGCATGATTGATTCATGACAGTGTTGAAAAAAGTGACCCACCATGAATTTTTATATTTTATATCATCTCTCCATTGTAGTTCCTAGAAATAATTATTTTTGCAGTAGAAAAATGATCTCTTTGCTTCAGTGTTCCATGTACATCCGTCATAAGGCATATTAATGAGAAGTACAAATGAAAGAAGCAAAAAAGTCATCGTGGCTCCATGCCATGTAGAATGGGCACCATGTTTACTGTGGGTGTTGGCCCACCAGGGATTCTCACATGAATTATCATTGAATATGAAATTGAAATTTTTATTTGGAAACTAATATGAAATTATTATTTGGAAACTTCATATTCATACAGCAGGGCACAGAGGCTTGAAACAAGTGTTTTGAAATATGTGGTGGGATAAAGCTAATTCAGAAAGTAACACCCAACCCCCATACGAGCCAGTTCTCAGGACTGATTCAACTTTAAGAAGGGTGTCATGAATACAAAATTATGAAGGAAACACAAAATTGTCTTTGGAAAAATTGAAAATATCTTCATTCTAATATTTTCAAATTTCTTGCTTAATAAAAATGACAACTTTTGTTATTTCTTTATTATTTCATCTGTCATGAGCAAGTCCAGAAATAAAGTTCAATTTACTCAATTTGGCCTCATGCAGGTTAAAAACAATAAAATCATGTTGCACAGATTTACCCACACAAGTGGAACAATGCCTGACTTTAAGGGAACCTGCTCATAATATAACAGAAAGAAAAAAACAAAACACAGTGTAGAAGACTAAATATAAATTATTAGCCTAGTATTATAGAAATGTTCTCTTTGTCTTCTTTCTCTCTCTTTCTCCTTCCTAGGGCTTCAAATCAGAGGACTTTTAAAGTTTCTGAATTTAAAAATTTTCTTCAGTGAGCATATGCTGTTTTAAAATTGAAAACAAAATTATTTAAGCAAAGAAATGATTAATTGGGCGCCTGGGTGGCTCAGTTGGTTGAGCGACTGCCTTCAGCTCGGGTCGTGATCCTGGAGTCCTGGGATCGAGTCCCGCATCGGGCTCCCGGCTCGGCGGGGAGCCTGCTTCTCCCTCTGACCCTATCCCCTCTCATGCTGTTT